AGACCTACAACGTACCGTATTTTTCGGAGTATAAGATGCTCTGGACTACCTTTAAGATGCACCTACCTTTTTTGGGGAGGAAAACAAGAAAAAAAAATCTGCCTCCCAGCAATTTGTCTCGTTGCAGCAACAGCGGAGGCCCGCGCGGCAACAGGCAATGGCAAATCCCTGCAGCCTGAAACAGCTGGGGGTCGGGAGGCTGATCCAACCGACAATCAACTGCTTGTGCTAATCAGGCTGTGCTGAAGCTGAAATGGGCTGTTTGTTGTTTGCTGCAAGGAGGTAAATTGCTGGGAGGCAGAGGCCAAAGGGGGGCCAGTGGGTGGGCGAAGCTACATTTGGTGTATAAGATGCACCCAAATTTTCACCCTCTTTTGGGGGGGGGAAGTGCATCTTATACTCGGAAAAATACAGTACCTCTTCGGCTAGAGCTGATGGGGTGGACAGATGTAATCAGAAGAGGGGGTCTCATTCCACGAAGGGCTTCAAAGGTCAAAAACACAATCCTGAATAGGACCCAGAAGCAAACTGGCAATGAATGTGGAGCAGAGATGTAATGTGTGCCGTTCTTGGGGTGCGTATAACTGCCCTCACCATCCCATTTTGTAATCTCTGAAACCTTCCAGATCAGCGATGGGCTCTACATTTTTTTTACTACCGGTTCTGTGGGCGTGGCTTATTTTATGGGCGTGGCTTGGTCATGTGACGGTGGGAATGCTTCATGGTCATGTGACTGGGTGGGCATGACCAACTCAATGTCACTCACGTCAAGGGGTCCCTCGCCTGGCCCCTCCCCTCCCAGCCATTCCTTGTCTCACACAGCCTCAACGTATCTATAGTTCTGTAAAAATGTTGTTCACCTTTTTTCAACTTTATTATCTACATACTACAGATGTCCTTTCATGGACCACTGAAAGGAGGAAATGGCTCACATGCTTTGCCCAAGAGTGTGAGAGGCAACAGGTTTTTAAGGGGCTGCCAGAAAGAATGTATAGGCCATGTATTTTCCAAAGCACCAGGACAGGCAAAACAAGAAGCAATGGATGGAAACTGAACAAAGAGAGAAGTTAATTTTTCTCCTCAAACTAAGGAGAAACTTCCTGACAGTGAGAACCAATATAGGTGCAGAAATATTTCAGTCATAATTTCACATATAAAATAGCCATTCGTGCATATTGTTCAAAACAGTCATTAGTATTATGGCTGCTGTTTGACAGCAAGCGTAAAAGTCAAAGATCACGAGAGCGCTTCTTTCTCTGTAGGTATACAAAACATCACATACCAGGAATAGCATATTAAGATGGACCTATGCAACCTGATGCACAAAATAAACACACGCATATGCTCTGGACTATAGACATTGAATGCATGTAAATCCCTGAAAAATATGCAAGCCTCCGTACAGCCCCTGGGAGCCAAAACAGGGCGTGGGGGGGGGATTCTTGTAAGGGGCGGGGAAGGGAAGGTCGTGAGCCCGGTGGGGGTGGCGCAGCATGCTCTGGGGGGGAGGGTAGCGCGACTTACCTCTAGGCAGGAGGCGGTAGCTCAGTTGGGGCGCAGGGCAGGCACCACGTGGGAAGGCAGCTTAGGCAGGCAAGCCGCCCGGATGGTAAGGAGGAAAAGGAAGTGACTGGGTGGGGTGGGGACCGGTTCAGGGGCATGGCCAGCCAGCAATTAATACCGGTTCTGCGACCCTCGCCAATTTATCGCTACCGGTCCTCCCGAACCGGTGTGAACCGGTAGCAACCCACCACTGTTCCAGATGCTCTTCAATGGCAGCTCCATGTGGACTACATTAGAGTAGTGCACCTAGGATGGCTATGTATATTTGACTAATATATCAATCAACTCTGGGCATCCCTAAGGAAGCAGTCTGGAGAGGCGGGAGGGGAGGTGCGTAACTGGGTAGATCAGGGTCCTCCCCAGATGAGTCATGTGGGGGGCTGTGGCTGGAGAAAGTCCCCACAACGCTTGGGCAGGGCAGCTCCGTCTCCTTCCTCTGATTTTCATAGGCAAAGCCTGCCCTAAGTGGCTTCGGCCTGTCTCGTGTTTGGCTCTTTTCCAAAATCCTAGCTCAGGAAGCAGCCCAGCATCTCATTTGCCAGATATTCTCCTGACCCACAAAGGCCAGATTTACACAGCGGATGTAACTGAGTCAGTCATGCACCTAAGAGATACCTTTCCAGTGGTGGGTTCCTCCCGGTTCGGCCCGGTTCTCCAGAGCCAGTAGCGGCGAAGATATGACATCACCAAACTGGTTCTGGCCCCCCTGCCCCACCCCCTGCCCGCTCCCACCCCCTGCCCGCCCCCACCCTCTGCGTTATTCTTACCTTTTATTTGGCCCTACCCCCAATCTATTGCTGCCTCCTGAGTCCCAGCTGATGGCTAGGGGAGAAAAAACTGATTAAACTCTTGCCATGGGGCTTGAAAGGGCCACCCTACAGCTGATCAGTGTTAAAAGAAAACAAATGAGTAGACCAGTGCCTGCAAAAATACATGAGTAGATCAGTGCCTGCAAAAAATAAATGGGTAAATTGGTACAGATCTGGATGCAGTTAAAAGCCTGGTAGACCAGTACCTCTGCTTAATTGTCACATGACCATCAAGCCACAGCCACAAAATAAGCCACGCCCACAGAACCGGTAGTAAAAAAATTTAGAACCCACCCCTGTACCTTTCCATAAACTTCTCATATTGGGTTACCGGCAACCTTGGTGAATTTTCCCTTCAGGGACTTGTGTGCATTGTGTGTGGATCCCATTTGCAGGAGATGCTGCACCATAAACCGACCAGTCAGTTAAAACAGAGGAAGGTTACACCTGCTGTGGACCCAGAGAGAAAAGAGAGGATCTGAAGGGGAGGCTCATCCTGCAGACGGCCGGTTTCCAGGGACTCGGACCAGGAATTGGAAGCTCCCTTTAATGGCCTCGGCCTTCTTCATCGGTAGAAATACAGACGGGTGAAAGGGAGGAGAAGGTCCCTCGGTTAGCCGGAGCCTCCATTGGGTTCTGGTTTCCCTGCAAGGTTGGCCAAGAAGTGAGGCTGGAAGGAGGGAGGAGACTTTCATCTGTTTATTTATGCAGAAATGGAGAGCCTGACTCTTGGAATAGAGGTCCAAATCTAGCATGCTGTGAAAAATACGGCTCAGATATTCAAACAGAAAGTTTCTTATTTATAAGCAATCAATGTAAATTCTTTCACAGGATTAGTGTTCACATCTGGTCAATTACATTTGTCTTTTTGTGTACAAGATTACATTTGTTGTACTTAGTACAAGAGAGCAAAACGTTCCTATCCTATCATTGTCAGGAATCGCCTGTCCCAGGTCTGTAGTTTGTCTGTCTGTCTGTCTCACAAAGAGAAAGGGAGTTTACACAATCCAGCAGCTAATTTGATCAGTTCCATCTTTTGCTGGCTTGTTTCTACATAATTTGATTAATTTCTGGTTGGCTTGGTGCTTAAAACAGTATTTGAGACTTTTCTTCTGATGGGATTTTCCTTCCCCCCTTTGCCAAGTGAGAGGAGAAACTGCAAAGCCTCCAGCCAGCAGGGGGCGCCATTCTCCAGCTCATCCCTGTTTCCAGAAATTCTTAGGGCCTTGCTGAGACTCTGGGATCTGAAAGGTTTTCCAAACATTTATATTCTTTTATGTTGTATATTTTATATTCTTGAACTATCAAGCTATCCCCTCCTCTTTTCCACAGACAGGGCCTAATTTCCACTCTGTACATGCTCAGTGGAAAGGTGACTGCAGAAGAAAGGAGATGATTCAAGCCCTGAAAAGACAATTGAATGTTTCTCATACTGTGTTCATCGTAGGAAATGTAAAATCAGCTGAATTTCAGGATCATAATAACAACTCGAAAGAGGGATTTATTATTTTAGTCCAAGGAGTCTCCAGAAGAACCGCCAAAGGAGAGAGCAGCCATCTTAGTTTATTGTGGGAAAAGAGAAAAGTTTGAACTTCTTAAAGATTCATGGCTTCACCAGAGAAGAAAAAGAAATGGAATTTATATACTGTATTTGATACCTTTGGCATTTTCCCTAGAAAGAAATATCTTCGCCTTGAAGATGCCACAAAAAAGCCTTTGAGCATTTTTATCCAGAGCGAAGATCATTTGGGGTTTCTGACCTAAAACACGGAATCATAGGACTGGAAAGGACCCCAGAGGTCTCCTAGTCCAACCCTCAGATCCAGGCAGGAGATCTAATACCATCCAAGCCTAACGGTTCTCCAGTTTATTTTTGGAAACTTCCAGTGAGGGAGGACTCACAATTCCAAGATCTAATTTATTCCACTGATTAATTGTTCTCATTTAAAAAAAAATTCTCCTTCTAGATTGGATCTCTGTTTAACAAGCTTCCAACCCAATGACTTCTTGTCCTGCCCTCTGGGGCTTTGGAGAAGAGGTCAATCCCTTCTTCTCTGGGATAGTCCCTCAAGTGCTGGAAGACAGTTATCCTGACACCCCACTCCCCAGTTCTTCTGTTCCACAGGCTGGGCATCTCTTTCTCTCTCTCTCTCTCAGTGGTTCCTCATACCATTTAATCTTCCTTTATCATCTTTATTGCTTCTCTCCGCATTCTTTCCAGGGTCTCAGCATCTTTTTTGAATTGTGGAGATCAGAAGTGGATCCAGCATTTCAAGGGGGGCCTCACTTGTGCAGGAGAAACGGGAAGTATCATTTCTCGGGTTCTCTGTATGTTCTCCTTCTGTTGATGCAGCCCAGGACTGCACTGGCCTTTTTGATCCCCTCCCCCTCGACTGCGCCCCTCCCGCCCAGGCTTAGAGAGCCCCCCCCTCTCTTTTCCGACTCCCGCAGCTCTGCCCCTCCCCCAAGAGGCAGAATCCCTGGAAGGGGATTTCCTGATGGAACTTTCGCTTTCCTTTCCCCTCCTCTCTGGCCGGTTGCGCCTGGCCATCTGCCTAGCAACAATGACGACACGGGGGTATCTTTTTTCTACTGGTTGAGCTTGCCCAATCACGGGCTTGCTCTGGGTTGTTCCTTGTCGGTGACCCGGGGCGCGTCTTTCTATGCCTGCGACTTCAGAAGCCCTGAGCGGAGGCTGAGGATGGCGGCCAGGATGGCTCTGCGCTTCCTGTCTCTTCTGGTGGTGGGGGTCACTCTGCTGGAGAGCTGCTTCGGTGAGTCCCTTTGGGGGCGTCTGGGGTTCCGGCCCCTTTTTCTACTGTTGGGAATCCATCCAGGGAATCTCTCCCCCCCCCATGTTTATTCCCAGAAGGAGAATCCTGATTCGGTCCTCTTTCTAGTCCGCTCCCCCTCTGGCCACTCTCAGAAGGGACCCCAAAGCGTGGATGGGACTCTGCTGCCTATCCTTACCCTCCTAGAGCCCCCCTGGGAGCAGGACAAGGGTGGCCCCTCCAGATCTCAGTCCAGTCTACCTGGGCGCCCCCCAAGCGCAGTTCTTTCCCAATTTCAAAGTGGAGGTTGTGGGAAAGCGGCGTTTCCACGGGATCAGGACAATTCACGAACCTCCTGGCTGCCTTCGCCCAACCCCTCTGCCTGGGATGCCTCTCCTGCCTTTTGGGCTACTTGGTGGGTCTTGGTGGCTTCTGGTGCTGGGAGGACCCGGCTTGTTTCTGGAAGCGGTTTGATGTATTGGCTGATGCCAAGGCTGGTGCCATTGAAGGGTCGGGATAAGGCTGCCCTGTGAATGCAGCAGGAGAAAAGCCTCGAGAGAAACGCTCCTTCAATAATGTTTCTGCCTTTAGGACGTTCACTTTCTCCTCCATCCTAAACCCCAACATCCCCAGAGCTTTTCTCTAGGCCAGGCAGGGATTTTACCACCCAAAATCCTCCTCCTTCCATTCCAGGATTGCTCAGCATGGGTCAGTTTGCAGAATCCAAAGTATTTAAAATGTACTATTGTTCCTTAGGAATCAGGAAGGGGCCTTGGGGTGTTCCCGGTTGTTTGCTCTGAGAAACGACCGTTTGAAGGGAGCAGCATTTCCGAAGGCATTAAAAAAGTTGTCAGGATCTTAGGGATGAAAAAGGCTGGGTTGGAGGCAGAAGAAGAGAAGAACCTCTGGAGGGTGACCATGAATTGAATCGCTTGCTTGGACACAGACAGGCCCAAACTCACCAGCCGTTCCTGACTGGAGGCACATTCACCATTGTGAGGATGCCAAACCTATGTCACACGTGTCATTTCTGACATGAAGAGGATTCGTGGATGTGAGGACACCCAACCTGTGTTACATTCACACATTTCTCCTCTCAGGCAGACTTCAGACTTCCTCATTGCTCAGCCCCACAAGGGAAAGAAGCAGGTTCTGGATCATGGAGAGTCCGATCCCCCCTCCTTCTGTTAGAGAAAAGCTCTGATCCCTTTGGATTCTGAAATCTCCCAAGAGCAGGAAGTGGATCTGGTCCTCCCTCTCCCCAAAAGCTCTGAGAAGCCCCTGGGATTGTGGGAGGAGCAGGAAGAAGGAGGCCCAGGCCTTTCATTTCCGTGGTGTCTAAGTGCCTGGAGGCGGTACGGGTGTGGATGGGTAGAAACAGGCTCAGACTCAACCCCTCCAAGACTGAGTGGCTGTGGATACCAGCATCGCCTGATCTAGCTACCCCATCACTTTTGATGGGAGGGGAGCTACTTACTCCCTCTGAAAAGGCTCGCAATCTTGGCGTCCTCCTTGATCCATGGCTGTCCTTGGTGGACCATCTATCGGCCGCGACAAGGGGGGCCTTTCCACAGGTTCGCCTAGTGCGCCAGTTGCAGCCTTTCCTAGACAGGGATGCCCTCCGTACAGTCACTCAAGCTCTCATTGTCTCTCGGTTGGATTACTGCAATGCCCTCTACATGGGGCTGCCCTTGTGGTGCACCCGGAGGCTCCAGCTAGTCCAGAATGTGGCCGCGCGGGTTGTTACGGGAGCTTCCCGTTACTCTCGTGCAACATCTCTCCTGCGTGAGCTGCACTGGCTGCCGGTGGCCTTCCGGATCAGCTTCAAGGTGCTGGTATTGACCGATAAAGCCCTACATGGCATGGGCCCGGGGTACTTGCAGGACCTCCTCCTACCTCCCTCCCACTGCCCTGTGCGTTCACACAGAGCTGCCCGCCTCCGGGTGCCGTCGGCCAGACAGTGTTGGCTGGTGGCTCCCAGGATGAGGGCGTTCTCTGTGGCCGCACCGACCCTTTGGAATGGGTTACCCACCGAGCTCCGGACGGCTCCCGATCTCCGCACTTTCCGCGCTGGCCCGAAGACATGGCTGTTCCAGCAAACTCCCTGATCATTCTACAAGGTTTTAAATCTGGGGATTTTAATTTTGGATTGGTTTTAGATTTTATTGTTATTGTTTTTTATTTATGTTAGCCGCCCCGAGTCCTTCGGGAGAAGGGAGGCATATAAATTTTAATAATAAATAAATAAATAAATAAATAAATTTGGACTGGGAAGGGCTGGGAGACCATACTGGAGGAAATGGGCAGTAGGACCACAGGTAGTCTTCGATTTACAACAATTCATTTAATGACCCTTCAAAGATTCAATGTCATTGAAAACTTTTCACACTTATGACCATTTTAGCGTCCTCATGGTCACGTGACCGAGATTTGGATGCTTGGCAACTGGTTCATATTTATGATGGTTGCAGTGTCCCCGTATCACCTGATCCCCTTTTGCAACGTTCTGACAATCAAAGTCAATGGAGAAGCCAGATTCACTTAACCAGGTTATTCATTTAACAACTGCAATGATTCATTTAACAACTGTGGGAAGAAAATTTGTAAAATGGAGCAAAAAACTCACATAACAAATGTCTCACTTAGCAACAAAAAATGTGGGCTCAATTATGGTCATAAGTCAAGGACTACCTGTATTTATTTCTCTGGACTTTGGAGGTTCTGCCCTTTTGTATGCAGACCCAGATTCTACCCAAATAAGTCCCATGAACGATCCTGAAAATGATCTTCAAAATCTTTGGTGCCCTGAAATAATTTCTGATCTGAAGAGCTTTCAGAATGGACACAAACAAGGGGCCTTGGAGATTTTCCAGTTTAATCTTATTTTCTTTTAATTCTTCTAATCCACTTACAAGCTGTTGTTTTTCTGTTCATTGGGCAGCCTTAGAGTCTCTTCCGTGTTTGTATTTTGACGATAAAAACTAAACAGTGACTTAATGTGATTTTTTTTGTCATTCTTAATAAAGTTTAGCATAGTTTTCTGTCTTGTGAATTGAGCCTGTCCTCCAAAGAAGGGCTGAAAAAACTTTGATGCTCCTCATTCCGGAGTTTGCATGATAGAAACTGACATAATTTTGTATGTTTATCTTGGATTCCCCAGAGGGGCTTTAAAGATGACAGGACGCTCCAGACAGAGCCTGAATTTAGGGAGAGGACCCCAGCTGAGCCCCCCACCCCAAATATGGGCGATGGCAGCAGAAGCTCCCAACCTCCTCCTTGGGGGCAGGGGGTGGGGCCAGGGTGGAGGGGCCAATGGTTTTCTGGGGGTGAGGAGAATTCTGGGAGTTGAAGTCCAAGTGTCGGACTCTGAGAAACTCTTAATTTAGGCCTTTACGTTGAGAGCCACTGATCATGAGAAGAGTTGGGTAGCCAGGATCTCAATCCCCTCCAAGGTGGCTGAGGGGCATTTCTGCCTTTCTTTGTGCTGACCAAGTGCAGGATCAGCCCCAGAGGAGGAGAAGGGTCAGAGCAGCTTCTGGGGAAAGTGAAGGGGGAGATTCAGAGGGAATCTGGTGCATTGCAAAGGTCTTTGAAGGAGAGTTTGAGGGTCCTAATTGGGTTGCTGAAAGGAAGAAATCTTGGTTTAATCAGACTGAGATTTTCTGTGGAAGGAGGAGGAGCCCCTCTGAGTCCTGGGTTCAAAAGCCGATTCTTGCTCAGATGGCTGAACTCTGGGAGGGGAGGGGGGATTTTCCAGCCAGAAGGGGGGGGACAGGGACGAGGAGGAAGATCTGGGGGGCTAAATCACTTCATTGCTGCTCCCTTCCCTCCTCCCTTTGCATTTCCCCATTTGGGTTTCCCCCAAAGGATCCCATGGCCTCTGGTCTCACCCGGTTTCCCCCTCCCCCATTTTATAAAATCCCTCCTCAAATCTGCACCTATTAACAGTCCAGGTTGGCCTTCAGTGAAGTCAGAATGGGGTTTTTTTTGTTCTGTGAATGGAAAGGAGGGGGGACCAGGGGGGGTTTCCTGCTGCTTTTGAGCTTCTGGGAGGGTGGAATCCCCCCTTTTACCTGTGGGGCCATTGCAGCTTCCTTGGGGCAGAGGCTGAGCAACCCAGAAGGGGGCTTGAGGGAGGCCTTGCTGGAAGGGGAGGGCACAATTGGGGCAGGTAAAGTTTGGGGGACCCTCCCCTCCCCTCCTCTCACCCCCCCACCTTCCCTTCCCTCCAACCCTTCAGTCCCTCCAGAAGCTCCTTTTTTTCCCTCTCATTCACTCCCTCATTTCCATCTCCTGCCTCTTCTCCCACCATCTCCCCCTTCCTTCCTTCCCCCCTTCCTCCTCTGCCCCCAAACTCTCCTCTTCCTTCTTTCTCCCAGAGCCTCAGATGGGAGCCTCCATGGGATCAGGGTCCTTGGCTGAAGCCCCCTAACTTTTCCCCTCTGGCTCCCTTCCAGGCGCCTCCTCCCACTCCCTGAAGTATTTCTACTCCTCCATCTCGGAGCCCAGTCAGGGGCTGCCCCACTTTGTCTCTGTGGGGTATGTGGATGGTCAGGTCTTTGTTCACTACAACAGCCACACCCAGAAAGCGCAGCCTCGAGTCTCCTGGATGGAGAAGGTGGAGAAGGACAACCCCCAGTACTGGAACACTCAGACCCAGGGACTACGTGACTCTGAGGAGCAGTTCAGAGAAAACCTGGAGATTGCAAGGAATCGCTACAATCAGAGTGAAGGTGAGTGATGGGTCTGGTGGCTCCTCCGGCCCCATAATCCCCTCCCCAGGAACCAGAGGGGGGAGAAAGAAATGGGTCCCTTCAAAGGGAAAGGCTGCTTCCACACCTTTTAAAAAGTCTTTTTTTATATGTTTATTCTTTTTTAAAAATCAATATAAGTTTCTCCTTCCCTCCATAACTGACATTTTCTGCCAAGTGCAGTTAATAAAAAGATGTTTAAATTTATCCTTCTGTCTTTCTGAATGTTGATATGGATATTGATATAAACTGAGGTAAAAAGAGACCGAAATCTCCCCTCCCCCCCCCATGAAAGATGGAGGATCTGGCCTTGGTGGATCTCCTGCTGTGGGGGAGGAAGGGAATCACAGATCCCCCCTCCCAAAAAAACAGGCAGGTGGATCCTAATTAGATCCTGGGGGAAGCAGGTCCTCCTCCTTCTGTCTGTTTCCACCAGAGAGAGATGAGGGATCGAGTGCAGATCCACCTGGGGAGACTAGATCCCTTTCCTTCTCCCCCTTTTTGGAGGGGCGAGTGGGGCCCAAATGCCAGGAGCTTCTTCTCACCCTCCAGTTGGAAGGAGAGGCTGGGTGGACCAAATGGGGGGCTGGGGGGCTTTTGTGGGGGGGGATCTCAGGGCCAGGATCCTCCCAATCTTCATGGGGAAAAGAAGGAAAAGAAAGAAACCTCCATTTGGGGCCCTTCCAGAGTCTCTCGGAGCCTTCATGGCTTCCCATCCTTGGTCCCTCAGGCTGAACTCCTGCATTGCCCTCTTGGTGGGGCTGCCCTGGAGGGGGGGAGTCTTTCTTCTGCAGCCCCCCCTTCTGCCATCTTTGGGGGACAAGATTCACCTCCAAGGAACCTTATTTGGGGAGGGTCTGCAAGGAAATGTGTGTGTAAAGAGAGGCTGCTTTTGGCTGAGGAAAAGCTTCTCCACAAACAGGAGCCATTTTCCCTCCTTTCATCCCAAGGAGTTGCAGCCCCCCCAATTCTTCCTCCCTTTCCTTGCCCCTCCCCCTCTACAGGTGACCCCCAGAGCTCTGCCAGTTCTGCCCCTGATCCCTGAGGGTCTCCCCAGATCCCTCCAGGCCCCCTGCTGGCCTCCCAGGGGAGCAGAGCTGGACCCAGAGGGCTCCCCCTGGTGGAGGAAGGAGGAAGGAGACCGGCCAGAGTGGAGGGGAGCCTCCTTTCCAGGCTCAACAGCCCCAAATGTCCCAACCTTCCCTCAAAGGGAGGCTGCTTCAACTCTCCCATCGCCTGAGTTGCCTCCTCTGGACCTTCTCGGGCTCCCTCCTCTCCTTTTGGAGGTCTGGTGACCAGAAACTGCTCATAATATTCCAGATGTGGTGGCACTCTTGATTTATGTAAAGGCTTTCTGACATTAGCTTTTGTGATTTCAATACTAATTTAATGATCCCTCACATCCTGTGCACCTTTTAAATTTTTAAATATAATTTGTATTAAACCTTTTGAACAAGAGATAAAAACTAATAGAAGGTAACATAAAGTAGACTTCCGGCGGTGACGTCAGCGTGTACGGAACGAGGGGAACGAGGCTCTGTCCCCGAAGTTCCAAATTTCTTGATTGGAAGCCGTTCTTGGCACTATCGACCACGGAGAGGTCGATAGAAAAAGGAGGATTCCCTAGGACCTCGGAGTGACAGCAATCACCCCGAAGGTTCAGAGAAAAACCCCCTAATTCCAACCGGGAAAAAACCAGCCATTTTGGCTGGCCGGAGCGCTGTCAACCGATAAGTGTGGAAGCGAAGATTGCAGAGAGAAACATCGGTAATTAGACTAAACCATCTGAAAAGTGAAGGTATATTTATAAAGATTTAAGGACTTAAAACATCGGCGAAAAGAGGACTCCTAAAAGCAGCGGTAAGATCGCCAGGCAAGCGGCGAGAGACAGTGATCGGAGCGGAAACTAACACTCACAGTGACAGCGCAGATTTGACTGGCGAAAGGACGAGAAACGGAAGGAAAGGATTACAAGCAAGCGGTGGATTATAATTTTATAAATAACGTGTTTTGATTTTACAAAGAATAAAGACTAATTGAGAAAGTGACAGTAGAAAGTGAAGCTTAAGAATTAAGACTCTTTAACACGGTTGCGGGCAAAAGGGAATCAGCTGAACGAAGTGAAAGGTGGACTGAGGATCGAGGACTTGGAGAAGGAGTTTTTACTTTGTATCCAGCAGTAAATATAATCCAAACCACAGATAAAGGACTTGTAATAAGACATTGGACACATTGATGCTGTCGGCGGAGGAGATATAACTTGCTACAAATCGGAACAATTATTTTACTGTTTCAACGGAAGTTGCTGTAACAGAACTGTGAAAGCTGGGCGAACTGAAGGCGAACTGAAGAACGAAGGAAGAAGGAGAAGGAAGTAATTCCAATTGGTCTGAAAGTGATTTAATGGAGAACTTTTAACATCCAATTATCAAATATAGTTATTCTATTTATATTACAAAATCCAACTACAGTTTAATTAACTTTGCCTAAATAATACTAATACCAATTTTGAAGTTATTATAGCATATATCAAATTGACTTAAGATTAATTTTTTTTTTCTTTTCATTTCCTTTTTCCCTTCTTTACTGTCCTATGGTTTCCCACCCCAATGAAATATGATAATAGATTCTATAGTAATATATTGATTAAGGGAATTATATTGTGTATTGATTGGAAATTTAGATATTAACATAGACATTGTAAAGAGACTGTTATAGATAATATTAAGGAATAATAAGGAACAATAATTGTGATAATTAATATAAGTACTACATATTGGTAACTGTGATATAATCCTAAATACATATAGAACCTAATAGAATATCTTATATGACTCATAGGGAATCTTAGACTATATAAGTTTATTACATAAAGGTATATATGAATTGTTTAGGCTTAAAGTGAATTTAAGTATTGGAATAAGTATGATCATTAATGTGATTTAGTATTAATATAACTTGGCATTTAAATATTGATTATATTATACTGTTTAGGAATAAGAACAGGAAAATGAATTGCTAAAACACTGTATTTCCCCTTAGCCCCACTGAATTAATCAATTTGACTTCTATATAACGATATTTCAAATACCCCCAATCAGTGTATGAAAATTTGGGAAAAAATAATACAAAAAACGATGGCAACATCCTCAATAACAATAACAAAACAAGGGAAAAAACCAGCACCCATACAATCTTCACCTGCACAACAAAAAACCATAGACACGATGCTAACTACAGACAAAGATAAAGCTGCTACCACACACAACATACAGAATATACAGTCTATATTGGCTATGATACAGGAGGGGATGAACAAGACCCAAGAAACAATAGCGAATAACCACGAAGAAACAAAAAAGAATCATGAGGAATTGAAATTAGAAGTAGGACAAATAAACGACAATATAAAAAAAATGGACGATAAGATTGAAAGAATACAACAAAACATAGTTAAAAACGAAGAGCGAATTCAAAATATGGAAGCCAAAATGGTCCAATCGGAGAAGAAGATGGATAACATCGAACAAAATCAAATGGAGGTAAACAGAGAACTTGAAGAATCAATTACCCATTTAGAATTAGAAAAAGCATCTTTCTTTTTACGGTTTCAAAATATTGCAGAAATAAAGGGAGAAGATCTAAGAGACCTGATGACAGATATATTAGTTGAGGCTACCCAAAAGGAAAAAAAACGATATTAGTAGAGAAATTGACGAAATTTATAGAGTGCATACGAATTATGCTCGTAGGCACAAACTACCTGGAGAAATACATGTCAGATTCGCACGTAAAACTGTAAGAGAAGAGATTTATACACTAATGAGAGAGGAGAAACCATGCTACAAAGGGAAAGAAATAATAACTTTAAAACAAGTTCCAAGAAGAATAAGAGAATATAGGAAAAACTACAATTTCTTGACAACCCTACTGAACCAACATAAAATAATGTTTCGCTGGCTGGTGCCAGAGGGAATTCTAATATCCTGGGACGACAAAAAATATAAAATAGACACGATAGAGAAGGCACAAGAATTTTTTGACACGCATTTCATAATAGAAGAAGAACAGGAATCTAGGTGTGACCCAGATAATACAAACCAGGAACACCTTACGGGGGAAACAAAAAAAGGAAAGGAAGAAAAGGAGTCTAGGGAAAAGGAGAGGAGTGAAAGAGAAGGGGCTAGGGGGAAAACACAAATGGTAACAAGAAACACAAGTAAACTCAAACTAACAAAGAAAAACTAAAGGAAATGGGACAAGAGTTGAAATTAATTTCAATTAACATAAATGGCCTTAATCTACCAATCAAAAGAACACACACCTTTAAAAAACTTCAAAAATTAGATACAGACATTATCATTTTACAAGAAGTACATATTAAAAAACAACACAAACAATTATTAGAAAACAGAAAACTTGGATCACTATTCACCTCACTATCAGAACAAAAAAAAAGAGGCATTGCAATATACATTAAAAACCATATTCAGGCAAAACAAATTTACACAGACGGAGATGGTAGGATATTAATGGTCAATATTAAGACGGAGGCCCGAAACATGCTACTAATATCAATATATGCTCCAAACGGGAACCAAAAAGAATACTTCAAAAAGCTACATGACAAAATTAAAGAATTAGACTACGAACACATATGTATAATAGGGGACTATAATGCAATTGCAGATATGGACTATGACTACCAAAGTAATAAAAAAAACAAATCTAAGAAAAAGACACTACCGGATACTTTCAAGGACATGACTCAAGAGTTACAACTGAAAGATGCCTGGAGAGAATTGAATAAAACCAAAAAACAGTATACATATTATTCAAATCCCCATCAGTCTTGGTCCAGACTAGACATGGCCTGGATGACGGCAGAACTAAGAGAAAGCATAAAAGAAATTGAAATCACACCGAACATATGGGCAGACCACAGTCCTATAACAATAGTCTGGAAAGGCCGGTCAAAAAGA